AAGCCATTAATTTTACCTGACAAACTATTCCAGTAGAAGAAAAAGCAGCTTTCTTAGTCTCTGGTAAAGGGAATAAATGCACCAGCAAAAGCGAATATGATGCCAAAAAAGCTAATTACATAAGAAAATGCGATGAATTAATTAACGGCTTACAAGCGAAAACAAGTGCCGGTAGTTCTATGTTTAGTATTTGTATTATTTGAAGTGATGAAGCAATGGATAAACATGTGGTTTCAAAACTAGAAGCTAATAGAAAAGGTATTGAAAAGTTAAAAGGTGATTTAGAAAGAGAAGATTACAAATGAGTTCAGGAGATAAAAGAATTGAATTTTGAGATAAACAAAATAGAACGGAAGATGGAAGAAAACAAGCGTAAAGCTATGAAAGAAACTGATCCAGTTAAAAAGGCAACTCTAATCCAAGCGATTGAAGATGATGGAAAAGTACTCCAGCAAAATTATGAAAAAAAGAAAAAAATTGACAGTAAGTTTCGCTTTGATCCTAGCAAAAAAATTAATGATTTAATCGAAAGTATGAAGCAGACTATAGAGAATAGTAAGAACAGAAATAAATCATCTAGTTCTAGTAGCAAAAGGAAAAATACCGCTAATTCTAACAATCCTAAAGAAGATAATCAAAATAATGAACCTTTTAATAATAATGAAAACAATAGTGAAGAAAATGAGTTTGAACCAAACTGATTTCAAGATAACCAACCTCTACTTATTTTGGGAATAACTGCTTTACTAATAGTTTTCTATCTCTACTATTCTCAAAAAGATGAAGAAACGAAAGACAATAATCTCTATAACTACAACTTTTAACTATGACTAATACCGAAGAAATTGAACAAAAACTTGGCGAAATTACCGAGAAATTAGAAGGTCATTTAGAACCTTACCAAAGAGGAGCCTTAATTTTGGCTTTACTCTTTACTCTACTAATTACTATTTATTTACTAACTAAAAAAGAACTTCCTGAACCTAGAGAACTAACTGAAATAGAAAGAAAAAAACTAGAAGCCTTAACTGAGGAAAGATTGCTCCAAAGAATGGCTTTTTTTAAAAGATTACGCGAACAATAGCAACTATGTATAATGTAGATAAATATTTTGATTCTTCTCAGAAAACAGAAGTCAAAAACAATAAAAGAAAAAAAGAAGAACAAATCCAGATGGCAATTTTAGTGTTGCTGGTTGGAATAGGTTATTACTTCTTTATTTACCTAAATAATAAAAGAGAAGAAGCCAAATCAGAGATTAAAAAACTATTCCTGGCCAATTCTTCTATTACCCCTACTGATTTAGATAGTAGATTATGAAAAAATAAAGAAAATTGAGAAGAGTATATAGACAGTCTGTATCTAAGTTCACAAATTAATTTGTTCGTAAGAGAAATAAAAAAAGTTATTACAAACAAAAACAGAGAAGAAAAAGAGAAACCTATAAAAGCTAGAGAAAAAGCAATTAAAGAAATAGAGGAATTTGCCAAAATTAACTGAACAAGAGATGAATGAAGTTCACTTGAAATGCAGAAAAAGATTAAAGAATTTAACGAGAGAATTAACACAACATTCACTAATGAGATATCTACTATTGTGAATGAAGCAAACAATTTTATTGTTGAAGTAAAAGTAAGAAGACAAGGACTTCACTGAAAAACAAAACCTTATAACTGAGCCGATAGGTGACTAATAAGAAATAGAACCAGTTTTGAATCCGCTTGGGAACAAATGAGTAAGTTGCTTAGAGAAGAGCCAAAGCATTTTGATATTACTGCTATTTACAAAATTAGTTTTCCTCCTTCTCTCTGAAATGAGTTAACTGAGGAAGAGAAAGAATTAGCCAAGAAAAAAGGTCATGGTGAACTTAAATTAAGAGATGAAGTAAAGGATTATAAATTTAATGATTCAATTTTAGAATGAGAAAGTAAGGTAAAACCAAATCCAGTTAGAGGCGAACTAGATCCTAACGACCTTAGCAACTTAGATAATAATGCTCTTTTTTATGGAGCGCCTAGAACTGGCAAATCAGTAATGGCAGAAAAGTTGGCTTATGAAGCGGATATTTATCCGTTGGTAACTATTAAAGGCTCAACTTTAACTCCTAAAAAACCTGACAATGATATTGGTGCTACTCTATTGCTAAAATTCATCTTTACTATTTCTGATATAACTCATAAATTAGTAGAGGACTATGGTTTTGAAAGGGAAGAAGATGGAGAAGTTCGCTACATTCTTTTTATTGATGAAGCTGATCAAATATGCACAACTCACGCCTTACCTCCCAAAGATGCCTCTTCGCAGTTAACCTTTTTGAAGGAATGCATGGGCGATGACAACAAGGATGAAGAAACTAAGAACCTATGAATTGCTGCCACTAATCATTTAGATAACATTGATGTAGCTATTTATCAGTCTGGTAGGTTAAGTAATCGTCTATGTTTTAGTTGAACTTTAGAAGATTTTATGAAACATGCTGAAGATGCTGTAATTAATAGAAATTTTCCTGACAGGTGAACAGAAGACAAGACTTTAAGTGATGAAGATAATAAATGAGTGAATAAGTTTAATAAGATTATCTTTGATAAAGACTTTTTACCTTTTTGAAAAAAGTTCATTAGCACTAATCCTAATGCTGAATATGAATTAGAAAGAGATGAAGAAGAAATAGAAGAGAGCCATGAAGTTAGACCAGAGGAAAAAAGGAAAAAAGTAAAGATTAAATGAGGTGAAATGTTCGAATTCTTTTGACAGTTAAAAGATAGTAATCAATTAGAAAGTTTCGAAGGCAAATTTATTAATCCTCGCGAACCTAAAATTCGAGACACAATAATTCAATCAAGTAACCATATAAGTAAAACTCTAGACATTCGTTTAAAAGAACTAGAAAAGTCTAGTAGCGATATACTTACTGAAATGAAAGCATTTAATGATGTTTTTAATAAAAGTTTTGTTGACTCTATTGAACAAATAACTGGTCTCTTATCAGAAATAGGAGGCAATATGAAATAAAACCATGAATGAAAAAATACAATTAATCGAAAACAAAATAAAAGAAATCACCAACCTACTAACCAATTGAACCAATCAAATTGCTACCTACCAATCGCAATTACAAGAATTAACTAATCAATTAAACACAATCAAGAAACAAATAAATAAGTAAAAATTATGGAACCAATATCAACAACAATTTGCGTGATCAGTTTTTTATTCGGTGCTGGCTACATCACTAAAAAAGTAACTGATTCAGTAAACAAAGGTCACAAAAATAAAAAAAGAAAGATAGAATTAAAAGGTAAAACAATAGAACAAGCTAGAGAAGATAATAAAAAAGCTCAAGAAGAAAAGAAAGAAGCTAGGGATGCATTGGAAGAGCAAGAAAGAAAGAATAGAGAGTTACAAAAAGAAATAGAACAAGCTAAAAAGAAAGCTAAAGACACTAGTTTATCTGAAGAAGAAAGAGCGAAGTGAAAAAGAAAAGTGGTAACTTTAGAAGAACAGTTGACTAATGGGCAGAAAGCAAGTCAAAACTATTCTGATATACTAAAAGGAATAGAGGATAGAATAAATAAAAATAACTCAATAATTTCAGATATAGGAAAGAATATTGATGGTAATCACTGAATTTGAGATTTAGTTACTTTTGACAATATTGTAGCAGCAGGAGTTTGTTATACAGCATATAGGTTGTTAAAAGATGATGATAAGAAATAGTTAGTTTTTTTCTTATTAATTCTTTTTTTCATATTTGTTTACTTTTCCTTTAGGTTTAAGCAAGAAAAAGAGAATAACTGCTGTTAATAGGCATGTTCCAGTAATTAACAAAGGAGTATAATTAAAAGGTTTTTTAGAGTTAGTTTGCTCTAAATTTTTAAGTTTCTTGTGTAAATTATCCAATTCTTCTTCTTCTTGGGGAGTTTTATTAGACTTTTTCTCTAATTTCTTAATCTTTTTCTGTAGTTTTGCTCTCTCTCTCTCTCTCTCTCTCTCTCTCTCTCTCTCTCTCTCTATGTTATTATTATTATCTTCTTGTTCTTTTTTTTTAATAAATTCTAAACAACGATTTTCAATGCCCTTACTAAATTCTAGGAAAATTAAATAGTCATCTTCTTTCATTGATTCGAAAATCTTTCCCCATCTTAAATCATCTCATTCACTATAGCAACCTTCTTTTTTAAGAAAATTAGCAAAAGAAAATTGATTAACTTTTTTATCTTTATTATTTCTCAGAAAATCAACTATCTTAGAACCATACCATTTTTGAAAAGCCTTAGCAAAATCAGAATCTTCATCTTCCCCACAGTCTAAGCAATAAGGTCTTTCTTTTTTTTCTTCAAGAGTTTTAAAAAAACCATCTCAATGGATGTTCCTATGACCACAGTGCCTATTCTTTTATTTTGGTATTTAAGTTTAATTCTCTCTGGAAACTTCTTTTCTAAATCAGTTATTTTTTGTAATAATTCACTTATTTCAGTTTTAACTGGACCAGTATTTAACTCTTTTTCTCATTTTTTTATTTCTTTTTCTATTACTTTTGCCTCTTCATAATCTCCTAATTCTAATTCACTTGATTGAGTTAGTAAATTATTTATTTCTTTTTGATAATCAGGAAGCTTTTCTTGAATCCTTTGTTCTCAACGCTTCTGTCATTGTTCTTGACATTTAGGTTTAAGGCATTTAGTTCCTATTACATTTCCACCACAGATAACACATACTCTTTTTGCCATAATCTAAAAGTTTTTAAGTAGTGTCGATTTATTAGACTTGTTTTTTTTTTTTTTTGTTAAACCCCCTAACCATAATACCTAATTTTATAAAAAAACCCAGATATTTTTGTAAACCTAAGAAAAAAGTAAAACGTTATTAGAAAAACATTTATTAAAACACTTCCTTTTTAGCCAGTTTTTCCTTACAAAAGTAAACTAATATCAGAGCTTTTATGAAATAAACTATAAATATGACTTGGAAAGAAATACATGCTTCTTTTACAGAAGAATTACAACAAGAGTGAGAAAATAAAGGATTTGGTAAAGAAAAAACTAAAGAGTGAATTATTATTGGATTACATCCTACCGATTATAATTATGCTTTTTGATTACAAAACTATAAAGTGCTAACTCCTGACTGAGTTTTTGCTTATGGTTATGATCAGGATTTAAGAGGGGGATTTGAAAGGTATTTACAAGAGCAACAAAAAGAAAAAGAGTATAATAAAAGGTGATTAGATAAGAATTATCCTCAAGGAGAATGTATTAAATATGGTTTAAAATTAACTACTAGAAGTCAAGTATATGAAATTTATCTTAATGAACCTAGTTTAGAAGGAGAATTAGATTTAAAAGATTTTACTTGGTGAAATGGTGTAACAGTCTATATTTCTCTTTCAGTAGATGAGAATAAAATAACTTTTAAAAATTTACCAAAAGAAGCAAAAATTAATCTAATCAATGCCCAGAGACATATTAACTATCATTATCCTACTAAAGAAACTAGAGAGCAAGTAACTAAATTAGATATTAGTGGTAAAAAATTAGAAGGTCATTTAGATCTATCTGATTTTATTAATTTAGAAGAACTTAATTGTTTTGAAAATAAACTAACCTCACTAAATTTAAGTAATTGTCAAAAGTTAGAGAATTTATATTGTTCTCGTAATCAATTAACTAGTTTAGATGTAAGTAATTGTGCTAATTCAATTAAACTTAATTGTTCTAATAATAATTTAACTAAACTTATTTTACCTACTAACCCTACTAATTTAAAAGAATTATATTTAAGCAATAATAATTTACCTGAGCAAGACCTATCTTTTTTAAGTAAGTATACTAATTTAGAAAGACTTGAATTAGGAAATGGCTATTATTGAAATAGTGAAGAAGTCAAGCAAAGAATCAAACAAGGTATTTGTAATCGTTTTTATGGTTCTTTAGAATTCATAAGTAAAATGAGTAAATTAGAATTTCTTAATATTAGCTATACTGATATTAATGAAGTAAATATTGATAAATTACCCAAGAGTTTAGCAAGGATTGAATATTCTACTGATTTAAGACCAGATTGTAAACTGACTAAAATAGTTCCTTTATTAAATAAATATTTTGGTAATCATGATCGTTGTTTTAAGTGCTGATTAGCTAATACTAGTTCTAATTGATGTCAACGTTGTGCTGAGCAGGAATGATCACAAGACTTAACCCAGTTAAGTGGTCAAGAATTAATAGAGAAGTTTATTCAGCAACAAGGTAATAAATTATTCTGAATTCCTTATGAAGAATTCACTAATATTGAATATTTAGCTGCCGGAGGATTTAGCAAGATTTATAAGGCTAACTGTAAAGAAATAAAAAAATATGATGAATATACTGAAAGTGAAGAAGTAGTTCTAAAAATTCTTAATAACTCTAAAGAAATAACTCATGAATTCTTAACTGAAATTACTAATACTAATTTAGTTGGTGGTTTAGTTGTAAATTGCTGTGGTATTTCTCAAGATCCTATTACTAAAGACTATGTAATGGTCATGGATTATATAGAAGCAGGTAATCTCAGACAGTATTTGCAAAACAATCAGGATAAATTAGATAAGTACAATGAACCTGAATTAAGTTTAGAGAATAAACTTAAAAAATTAGAAAGTATTGCTGAAGGATTAAAAGGCATTCACGAACAAAGCCTAGTTCATAGAGATTTTCATAGTGGGAATATATTGAATAGTGGATGACAAAGTTATATCACCGATTTAGGATTAAGCCGACCAGTAAACTTTCAAAAAGATGAAGGTCAAATCTTCGGAGTATTACCTTATGTAGCCCCAGAAGTTTTATTAGGTAAACCTTACACCAAAGCTAGTGACATTTATTCTTTCGGTATAATAATGTATGAATTATTAGCTAATGAATACCCTTATTATGGACATAATCAAGATGCAGGTTTAGCAGTAGCAATATGTTCAGGATTAAGACCTAATTTAGACAGTATTCCTTTACCTCAAAAAATAAAAGATGGTATTAAAAAATGCTGAGATGCTAATCCAGAGCAAAGACCTAGTTCTTATGAATTATTAGAAATTATTCGAAAATGAGAAAAAGAAAATAATACTCCTATTTCTCAACAATTTAAAGTAATAGAAAAAGAATACAATGATTTCTCTCTAAATACTCCTTATAAAATTCATGCTAATGCTATTACTACTAGCAAACCTATAAACACTAGACTAATTACTGAATTATTATCCAGTAAAATGTCTAGTTTAGATCTATCAAAAACTATTCTAAACTATCACTCTACAGAACTAGATTTTGATATCACAACTTCAATTTCTACTACAGAACTAACTAAAAGATTACGCTCAATGTCTATGGAAGAAGCCCATAAAAAAGAACCTAAAACAGTGAAATTAGACAGAATAGAAGGAAAAGAACTCTTTTCAGAACCAATGCTAATAGACTATAAATGGACTGATATTAGTTCTTCTTTTACTGCAGAACTAATCAATCATTGACAATCTCATAACTTTACTGTTCTGAAATGTAAAGAATGATTAGATATTGGATTAAAAGCAACTGATTACAATCTTGCTACTTGGTTGCGAGATATTAAACAATTAACTACTGAACAAGTATTAAAACATTATAATCTAGAACAATTAAAGCAAGAATATCAAAACTACTTAAATAATCAGTTACAAACTAATATAGAACAGTTACCTAAATAATTTGTTGATATCAGAACAATAAACAACAAAAGCCATTAATATCAGACTACTTCTTTAAAATATTAATATAATAAACTAACTGAAAATATATTCATTATAACTTATTTAACTACTTATGAATACTAAGAATATCTTGTTTAATTTATATTATTCATTTTATAATTTTCTCTTTTCTACTATATATGCTAATATTTTTTCTACACTCTCAGCCGGAGATAAATAAGTAGTGTCCAATTCCCAACTATCAGCAGTTTTTATTAGGGGAGAAATTTTTCTTTTTCGGTCTCGTTCATCTCGTTCTTGTAATTCCTTTTTGACTTCGGAAGAAATTAATTTTTCCTTAAATTGGCTATTTCGGCGTCGAGCCCTCTCCTCTAAACTAGCAGTTAGAAAAATCTTAATTTTGGCATCGGGCAAAACTTCGGAAGTTATATCTCGTCCAACTACTATTCAACCTTTTTCCTTGGTTAATTCTCGTTGGAATTCCAAAATAATCCTTCGCAACTCAGGAAGAGGAGACAACTGAGAAGCCAAATCACTGATAGCGGACGAGTTTAGTCTTTCCCTTTCTGCTTCCAAAGTAAGAACTGCTTCTTTTCCATATTTTATCAACTCACTTTTTCATTCATAAAGAATTTTTTTTGGTTCACTTTCGCTCTTGAAAGAATTATCTCTCTGCTGACAAAAGAGGGCAAAATGACGATACAATAGACCACTATCAAGAAAATGATAACCAAGTTTCTCAACAAGCAATTTTCCAATGGTAGTTTTTCCAGAACCCGCCGGACCATCAATGGCGATATTAAATTTTGCCATTAATGCTATTGATTTTTCCATCAGTCTTCTAATTCTTTTCCTTTTGGATGCGTTTTAATTATTTTTTCTATTTCTCACATATACCTCGTATGTAATCCACCGTGACCTTCTCCATCTCCTCCTCCACCATTTTCTTTTTGCCATTCGTTATAATCTCACATCATTTTATCAATTACAGCATGGGCCAATTCGTGAGCAATAGTTTCTCGGACGGCTTCTCAACTGACATCGGTAATATACACAGAATCTTCCCCCGATTTTTCTATCCATTCATCCTTTTCATGATTTTTTAAATTAAAAAGAAATTCTTTTTTTAATCTGATGCAAATAGAGCGACTCTCAGTATAAACCAAAGTAAAATTATTTGAAAAACTCTGAAAAGGGATTTTTCTTCGAATTCGTTTTCCTGTTTTTTCATCAACTAAAATATCCCTAAACACAAGTCCTCCTGATCAATCTCCCACTCAGTAAGGTTTAAAATAATTTTCGCTTTCTTCATCTAATCATGATGATGTTAAACCTAGTGTAACCTTTCCCTCTTTTTTTTCTGCTTCTTTTTCATCTCTCTTATCTAGGAACCTTTCAAAACCTTTAAATTGAGGCTGTGGGGGGAATTCTCTATGTTTCGAAGCAATAAGAACCTTGCAGGCATCATAGTCCTCCTTTGAAAAATTTTCAACTTTTTGGTTAAAATTAGATATTTGAAATCCTCTTCAAGTAAATTTTTCCGGTTCTCTCTCAGAAACTTTTTGAAAAAAATGCTCAAAAAAAAATTTAATTACTTCATCTAATTTTTTCTTTGCCTCTTCTTCAACTTCAGGAAAGGTATTTTTCAAAAAATTTTCTTGATCCTCTAGTCACTTCTGTTGTAAATTTGGTGAAAAAAGTTTATTTCTAATTAAACTCAACCTTGCTGCAACTTCAATGGGGCTTGGATAAGAATTTAAATTTTTTAATCTTTCTTGAATTTGGACCTTTTGCTCAGAAGTCAATTCAGGATTAAAATTTGTGTCCAACTTATGTTGATAAGAATTTTTTTTCCTTTCGTTAACTTTTCTCAATTTAACTAAATCTTTGGTCTCTTTATAAAATTCTCTCAATTCTTCTAGTCGTTTTCTTTCTGGCTCAAAACTTTTCTCATCAAACCTTTGCGATTCTCTTCAATTATAATATCACATTGTTGCTAAGGCTACTAAACAAGCAAAAAGAAGAAAAGAAAGTATGTAAAGTAAAGTATTATCATCTCGAAGATTCTTTTTTCGTAATTTTTTATTTATTTCTTTCTCATTCATTTTCATTAAGATAATGTTTTTAACTTAATTCTTTAATTTTCTTTTCTTTAGCAGCATTAAGTTTATCCTCATAATCTTTTTTCAACTTGTCAATTTGATTTTCATAATTACGCTTTTGGTCTTGAGAAAAGTTTTTATTTTTTTTGACTAAATCTCGGATTTTCTGCCGAACCAAATTTAAGGAAGTTTTACCTTTTTCAGCAATTAACTCTACCTCTTTAATAAGTCCAATTTTTTTTTCTTGGGTTATTGGAAGCAAGGTAAAATAGGTTTCTTCTTTGGTAGTTCTTTCTTGCTTTAATTGACCGTTTGATAAAATTGCTTTAACAATACCAGAAAGTAATTTTGGTTCGAAAGCACGAACTACTAATTCATGGTTAGAAGAAATTCATAAACTAGCAATTGCTTTTATTGGTTTTTCCTCCCCCCCGCAATTAACCATTAGACCCCTAATCACTTCTAGATTAATTCGATTACTCCGAATTTTCTCTAATACTCCTATAAAAGCATTTAATTCCTTTTCCAAGAGTTCGGTTTCTTTTTGTTTAATAATCTCTCAAGTATCATTCTCCATATATTTTTTTTTAGTTTGTTCGGCATATGAAAGTATGAATTTTTTTTGCTAAGTATCAATTTTTAAATAAAATCCTCTCAACCCCACTGGTTTTTTTTTTTTTTTTTGTAAAATAAGTATAAATATTATGTCAAGTGGTAATAATCATTATTTAGGAGTAGACTGATTCGGAATTCTTGGGCTTGAAACTACTGTTACTCCCAACGAAGTTATTAAAAGGTATCGAAAACTCCAACTTCAATTTAACGAGGATAAAGTAAAGCAAAGAAAAGGGATATTTACTGTTTCTGATAAGGCTAGAGCAGATGACATTAAACAAGCCTATGAAGTTTTTGAAGAAGCTTTTATAAATAATGGGGGGGCTATAGACAAAAATAATTGGGCTAATGAAACTTGACGAAAAAGAAACATGTTAGTAAGATATAATGCCCTTTCTGATGATGAGAAAAAATTTTATTGTCATAATTGTCCCCAAACAGGTGTTATTCGTAGTACTAGAGACATGTCTCCAATTAGCAAACGTTGATTTTGTTCCGAGTATTGTCAAAACGAATGAGAAAGAGATAAAGGATATACTCCAGAAATTTTTAACGAAGTCGAAAATTATATTCGCGACCAACTTGGGGGAAATATTCCAAATAATTCCTCTGCTTCTCCAAAAAGAACATGTCCAGGCTGCGGCTATGAACGACCTTATATAAATGAAGGGAATGGTTGGGTAAGATACAGCATAAACAGTCCGGATCTCCGCCTTCGCGAGAAGTGTTGCACCGAATATTGTCTAGAAACTTACCTGTGAAGCCTTGGCATTGACGCAGTCAGATGTAACTTTCGTGATTGCCGTGTGATCAAGCGAGAAACTGATCCCTTATGAGTGAGGGACCTAGAAAACCGAAACATTATGTATTGTTGTGAACAACATCGACTGCAAGAAACTAAAAGAGCAGATGACAGCGGACTGACTGGAGGAAGCGGCGGCGATCCTCTTCAAAACAAAAAAAATGCTGCCATTACTGAAATTGAAAATTCTTTAAACCAACCCCCACCAATAACTAATAATCAATTAGAATCCACTAACCAAAGTTGGCGGATTAAAATCCAAAATGCTAATTTAGATTCGGACATTATCACCATTAAAGACCAAGTCCTAGCCGATATTGCTAGTAAACGCCAAGCAAAAGACCCTTTGGCTGAATTACGGAAAACAGCAATTGACAAAATTTTAGATGAATTAACGAAAGAACCTCCTGTTGACGAAAGTGAGATAACCAATCGCAACTGAGAAGAAGATATTAATAATGCTTCCTCCGAAAGTGCTATTAATGACATTCGAGAAAAAGTCCTGGCTGATATTCGTAACAAAAGAATAAAAAAAGGAGAAAAAAAAAGCCTTGAAACTCTCTTATCCCAAGCCAAAGATTCTCAAAACTGAGACAACTACCAAAATCTTGAAAATATTTATCAACAGATTAAAGAACTAAGGTCTTCCAATGCTTACCAAGACTATGTCGCCGAAATTCAAACTGTCGAGGATAGATTAAAAGAGTTAAACCCTGATGAATTCCAAGGAATGACTGAAAGTCGGTTGAAACAAATGAAGCAGAAGCACCAACTAACCGATAGCGATCTAGACAAAGATACCAACGAAGCGATAGCCGAAGCAATTCAAAACCCTACTTCTGATAACATTCGAAAAGCAGAAGATGGAATTGAATTTTGCGGAGCACGCAAAGAATTAACCGGACTTTTGGGTCAGGTTGATAAAGTTTGAGGCGATCTAACAGCAAAAGCGGAATTAATTATCCAAATAATAGATTTTATGCATAAGAATGATTTTACCAAAAAAGCTTACAGAGAAAAAAAACAAACTGTCGATGAACTACTACAAAAATTAGAGGAAAGCGATCCGCAAAAGCAACAACAAAATCCGGAATTTCCGTGACTGAAAGTATTAGGAATTACCGCCTTAATTACCCTACCAACCATTTTAATAGGATTCTTTATTTTAAAAGTTTATCACAACAAAAAAAAGAAAATATTAACAAAATTACCTAATAAACACTAATAACATGAAACAACTATCTAAAAAACAAAAGACTATTTTAATAGTAGGAATAGGAGCATTTATTTTAGCAACATTTATCATTACCACCTTAGTAATATATTCTCGTAGCGAAAAACCAGTTTCAGTTCCTTCTAAAGATAGTCCTTTTCCTAATAATTCAAGTTTAATCGAAGCCAAAAATGAAGCAATTTCTCTCATAGAACAAAATTTGGCTTCTGATGTAATTAAAGAAAAAAATTTTTTAAAAAAATTAAAGGATAAGAATTATTTAGAAGCAAGTGAAACGGATTGAAAAGAATATTTTAATAATGCCTCTACTTCCCAAGAATTAGAAATCCGAAAAACGAATGCTTCAGCCATCATTAGAGAGTTAGAGAATGGTCCTAGTGGTCCTAGTGGTCCTAGTGGTCCTAGTGGTCCTAGTGGTCCTAGTGGTCCTAGTGGTCCTAGTGGTCCTAGTGGTCCCTGAATTCCCCCTACTTCTGGTGCTAGCGGATTATTAGATAGCAATGCGATGAAAATTATTGAAAAAGAGTATGGTCTAAAAAGCATTAAACCAAATAAATTAGAAATTATTAGTGATGATCAGTCAGAGTTAATCAAATTTGGAGTTGATAATTTTGGTGAGGTAATTGATGAATGGAAAACAAAAGAAATATTTTTTATCCCAGTGAATAATAGTTCAAATCCGAATTCTCCTGGCAGTGGTGGGCATTGGTCTCTCCTTGTTTGCGATGCTCAAAATAAAACTTTCCATTATTATGACTCTTTAGGAAGTGCAAATTTAGGATCTGCTCAGAAAATAGCCAAAAAGTTTGCTAAAATTTTGTGGGAAAAAGAAGGAGAATTACCACTAGAAATAGAAGAAGCAGCGCAACAAAGCGATGGAAGTAGTTGTGGAGCTTTCACTATGGCACACATTAAATTTTTGGCAGAAAGATATCGAGATAAAGGAGATTCTGAGCCAATGAATTGAAAAATGGAAAAAGATGATAAAGAAGAAGTTAAAAAAGTTGTGAAAGATATCCGAGACGTGCTGAGAAGAGAGAAGTGAAGTGATGAAGGAGTTAATTCTAATAACCTTAGCGATTTTGATACCTGGGGTTATTCGGCAGAAAAGGAACATGCAATGGTGATTCATTTACTAGATAAGAGTACTGATAAAAATGGTCTAACTCCTTTTCAGAAGTTTATTAAAGAAGTTTCAGAAGAAAACAAAAGAGCGAGAAAACTAATTGAAGTAGGTGAAAAAATTAATCAAGTAGACCATAAATTTAAAACTCAGGATAACAATCAGGATTTATGTTTAAAAATGTCTGAAATTGTTTTAATGCTTAAATTCTTTGCTTCGAATGAAAATGATATTAGAGAATTCATAAAAGAAATCAGAAAAATTGATAATGATAAAGCTCAAAAAAAGGCTGATTTTATTGAAGAAAAAGCAGAATTAATTAAAAAAAACCATGTAATGTCAGAGAAGGATAAAGAATACTTGAATAAGGTGTTAGATTGAGACAAAATTGATGATTTTATAAATAAAATTAATGAATACATTAAAAATAAATAAAAAAAAATCCTAAATAAACATTATGAAAATAAGTAAATGTGCCACTGATAGTGAAAGAAGCGTAATTAAAGTATTTCTTGTTTAAGATTTATTTATGATGATATTCATAGAAATGATAATCGCCGCCGGTTGTACTAATTCTAAAATTTTTTATCTTCCAAGAAAAGGATATAAAAATTGTGATAAAAAATAATACCAACAAAAATAGACTCTAAAAATTAAATATATGTCTAAAAGTTAATCAGAACTTTAAATAACGCGAAAAGTGTTGCGATCATTAGGGCATGGCGCAATTGGTAGCGCACCGGACTTTGATCCCGGAGGTTGCTTGGTTCAAATCCAGCTGCCCTAGCCAAATTAAAAATGTATGAATAAAAAAACTCGAAAAAAATCCAAAAAAGATGGAAAATGAATTGGATAATTTAGAATATTGTTTTTTTAAAGAGAAGGAGGAAGACAAATAAAGATAGTTTTTTGCCCTGATAGCTCAATGGTAGAGCTTTTCCCTTTTAAGGAAGAAATCCAGGTTCGATCCCTGGTCGGGGTACCATTCAACGATAATCATATAAGAAATAACATCGAAAAATAATTAGTGGTGCTACTTTTAACTTGGCGGTTAAATGTATTTGTATTAGGTCATATGCTTTAGGAGAAACAGTCTCCTCATTTTCTATTATTCTTATGAAAGCAAACCTTTTCAGTACTTCTATTGCCTAAGTTGATTAGATTTTCTAGAAAAAATAAAGGCGGGATTGTGTGGAATCGGTAGACACGCCAGACTTAGGATCTGGTGCTCTTTCGAGCGTGAGGGTTCAAGTCCCTTGTCCCGTACCAAACAACAAATCATTACTATAAAAATAAATAAAGTAATCAATCAGAAAGTATTCGAAATTCTCAATTCCAAAACAATAATTTAAAAAACTAAAAAGAGAGGTAAATGAATAAAAATGAAACAGAGAGTTTAATTAATAGTTGAATTTTGAATGAATTAACTACTTTACAAAAAGATTTTTTTTTCTACTTTAAAAAAAAAGAAATTAACTCAACTACTTCCCAAATAATCAAGTTTACTCGGGAAAAATTAAGCAATGAATATCTAGAATTAATAAAAGTTTCGCCATGAAGTGAAGATACCAAACGTACGCTGCTCTTTGTTTACCAACAATTACTTATTCTCCTACATCCTTCAATTCCTTATGCTACTGAGTACATATACCAGGAAATTACTCAGCAAAAAATATTAGAAGCAGAAATTGAAATTCTTTCCAGAGAGAACAAAGATAATAAACTTTGGCAAGTTGACTGTTTACTTCTCTTGATAAGTAGTATTCGTCAGGTTCGAAAAAAAAGCAAAAATAATGAATTTTGCCTAGAGTTAATCCCTAAATGAAGGGAATTCATCAACCCTAATTTTGACTTTAACCTATTTTTGCAACCGTTAGTAAAAAGTAAAATCTTTATTTTAGAAAAAAAAGGAGATTTTAATTCTTTTGTTGACTTACCTCCTTTCGGAACTCTGTGATATCAAAAAGAAACCAGCGAGGAAGAGTTGCGGAAACAATTAAACTTTTATGAAAAAGAGTGTGAAAAGAGAAAAAAGTTACTAGAAAATAATAATTTTATTACTAGAGCACACCCTAATTTAGTGAAAGAAGAAAGGAAGAAGTTAAATTATTACGAAGAGCAAAAAAGAAAAGTTTTAAAAGAATTAGAAAAAAATTAAAAAAAGTTCCTGAGTTGCTAAACTTTCATAAAACTTTTTTATATGTCTTATGACTTGATTATTATTGGGGCAGGACCAGCCGGATTAACTGCTGCCATTTATGCTCGCCGGGCTCTATTAAAAACTCTGATTTTAGAAAAATTTTTATCAGGTGGAAAATTAAATAAAACCGAAGATATTGATAATTACCCTGGTTTTGCTTCTATTAAAGGTCCTGAGTTAGCTGAAAGGATGACTGAACATACCAAGAGTTATGAAATTGATTGAAAACAGGGAGAGGTAACAAAATTAAATCAAAGAAAAAATGGATTTATTGTAAAGACAAATGAGGAAAACGAGATTTTTGGAAAAGCAATTATCATTGCTTCTGGGGCAATTGAAAATAAGTTAGGAATCAATGGAGAGGAACAGTTTACTAATTTAGGCGTTTCTTACTGTGCAATTTGCGATGGTTTTGCTTTTCAAGGCAAGGAAGTAGCGGTAGTAGGAGGCGGCTATTCAGCTTTGGAAACTGTTTTATATATGAGTAATGTTGCTAGTAAAGTTTACCTTATTCACCGGCGCGATGAATTTCGAGCTGAAAAAGAAATAGTGACTGAAGTTAAGAATAATCCAAAAGTAACCCTTTTCTTAAACTCAGTTCTAACTGAAATTCGAGGAGAGGAAGTAGTAAAAGAGATTGTCATCAGCAATTTAGCGGACAACCGAGAAAGTAAATTACTAGTTGGTGGAGTTTTTCCTTGTATCGGACTTTCACCATTTAGCAGTTTTGCCCATCAGTTAGGCGTCTGCGACCCCGAAAAATATATTGCGATTAAAGAAGATTGCTCTACTTCTATCCCGGGTTTGTTTGCAGCAGGAGACGTAGCCCGCCAAAGTGAAAAAAAAATTAAGCAAATTGTAACTGCAGTAGCAGAGGGAGCAATTGCAGCTCAGTCGGTAATTGGTTACTTGAAAAAACAAAAGTAGTTTATTACTCTTAAATTTCTCTGTAATAAAGTTTTTAAAAAAAATAAGACCATTAAAACACTCCTAATCATCTTTAAAATATTATTATAATAAATATTGCCTATGGTCAGAAGAGAGAGAAATAGCAAATTAGTATAATTCACTCACTACCTAATTTGCTATATATTTTCTTAATTACTTTTGTAGTGATGGTAAAAAATACAAAAATAAAAGTAAAATTTTAAGAGAAGAATATTTAAACAAAAAATATGGTTAACAAACAAGAATTATATCAAGCAAGAAAAGACCTAGCAAATGCCGATGTGCCTATTGTCTTAACATCTGAAACATTTTTTAACTACAATTGAATAAGTGGGGATGGTAATGGTTATAAAAGTGGCTTTAATAGGGATGATTTGGAAGTTGCCTTAATAAAGCAGTTAATAAGTATTTGAAAAACGGGCAATTATGACACGAACTTAACTGACTTTAAAAATATTTTAGACCCAGCCAAGAGCCAATTAAACGATGTTCCTAACATTCTAAACCGAACTAAAAATAAACAGGTTAGTTCTGACTGATACAAAGATGGAAGCCGAGGGACAGACTTCTTAAAATGGTGAGCCGATGAATTAAATAAATGAGGGACTATAACTTATACAGCCGACCCAGTGGAGTTTAAAAGGTGATGGGACAAAGTAATTAATACTCAATGAGCCAATAACTTCAAAGAAAAATATGTTAGTTTAGATGGTAATGATGCTTTTTTGAAAATAAAAGCCGACATGGATAAATTAACCGCTGATTTAAACACCGCCCAGCCTTTTGCCAAGAAATATGAGGACTTATGGAATTATTGAAAAGACAATTTAAAAACTGATTTAGATAATACATCTTTTCACCCTGATGGACTGAAAGAAGTAAAGAAACTATTAGACCAATTAAAAACAGATAAAACTCAATTAGAGCAAGATAAACAAAATCTTAATAGTCAAATAACTAACTTAAAAGAAACTATTGCGAGTAATCAAGGTAATAGCGAACAAGCAAGTAACCTAAATCAACAGTTAACTAGTAAGGATAATGAAATAAAAGTTAAAGATGGTCAAATAACTTCTTTAACTAATGAACTAAGTCAAGAAAAACAAAAAACAACTAATAAAGATAAAACAATAAAAGACCAAGAAGATATTATTACCCAAAGAGATAATACTATTAAAGCCCAAGAAGGAGAAATAACTAAAAGGGATAGTGATATCTCAGAACTAAATAATAAAATCCAAAGTCTAAAAAACCAAATACAAAAACTAGAAGCAGTTCAATTACAGCCCCCTAAATAATGTTTGGTTAGTGAAAATATTTAGGTCAAAAGAATAGATGGTTTATTTATTTTTTTTATAAATACAAGCGGTAAAGTCGGGAAATTCCTCTTTTTTAACTAATTTAAAATTTTCAAACAACTCTTCTAGTGAAAAATTTTCCTGATTTTCATTTTCCTTTCAATCTGGAAAAGGAAATTTAACATTTCCTTCATAAGTTCCTTTCACTACTGAGACATAAAAATAGTCTGCATAAATATAAGTTTGTTGATATATTTCCCGACCCCCAATTACGAAAATATGCTTGTCGAAATTTCCTTTGTATGGATCCAAAACTTTTTTTCAATTATCAGTAAAAATCAAGTCTTCTTCTTGTAAATTCTTATACTTTTCTTTATTTCTAGTGATTACTATGTTGTAACGATTTTTTAATGGTCTGCCAATACTTTCAAAAGTTTTTGCCCCCATTAAAACTACATTTCCAGAAGTAATTTGGGAAAAGTATTTCATTTCAGTTGGTATCCTTCAAGGAAGTTTATTATCCTTGCCAATAAGGCAATTTCGGTCCATGGCCCAGATAAGGTTTATCATTAATTTGATTTAGAAATCTGCAAAATAATTAGTAAAGAGTTAATATTAGATTTTTTATTTGCTTGAAAAAAATTTCTATAAAATTAAAGTATAATATTAAAATAGCGTGTCAGAGGATAACATAATTGAGATTAGAAATTTAAAAAAAGTTTATGAAGATAGAACTGTACTCAAAAATATCAGTTTTTCCGTAAAAAGAGGCACCATTCATGGATTTATTGGACCCAATGGAGCTGGAAAGACTACTACTATTGAAAGTTTAATGGGTGGAACAATACCGAATGATGGAATAATTTATATTGATAAGAAAAGAAGAAGCGAGGATGAAAATATTAATGCAAAAATCGGCTTCATGGCTGAAAAAGTTAGATTTAGTGACAGCATGAAAGTGGAAGACTTTATTCATTTGGCTGGGAAAATGCGCAGTATCCCTCCCTATGAAGTAGAAAAGCGTCTTCGTAAATCCGATTTAAATAATCATCGCTACAAAAAATGCGGCGAATTATCAACCGGTTGAGGCAAAATATTGCTTTATTTTATTGCCGTTATGCATGACCCTGAAATTTTAGTATTAGATGAGCCAACTTCCGGCTTAGACCCCTCTTACCGCGGAATTTTACTCAAACAATTAGAAAATGCTAGAGAGCGCGGCATTACCGTTTTAATTTCTAGCCATATTTTGTCAGATTTACAAAAATTAGTTGATTATGTCACCTTAATTAACAAAGGAGAAATAGTTTACAATAATAAAAAACCGGACGATATTGAAGAAATCTACGAAAAACTGATTTTAAAAGAAAAAATCCAAAAAATAAAAGAAGGGCAAACTTGAATTTAATTTATGAAAATTGGACACTCTTGAAGTTATTATTTAAAAGGAATTTTTAGCAAAGTAAGCACTTGAATAATTTTGATCTTGCACTTAAGTTTTGCGGCATTTTTTATCTGGACAACTCAACAAGGAAAAGGAATGAAAGTAACTATTAATACTAATAATGATCTCTTCCGACAAGTTTTTTGATGGCAAATAATTATTATGCTCATAGTCTGGACTTTCATTATTTCCCCCCTATCTTGGTTATTCTGGTGGCAAATTGATGACTTGGGACAAGAAACACAAACCGACGGTACTGATTTATTTTTCCTTTCCACCCAAGTTCCGACTAGTCGAGAACAAGTTTTTTGAGGAAAAGTAATTTCCTTATCTTGCTTATCAACTATTCTGTACTTACTGTTTTATGCCTCACCTATTACCATCTTTTTATGAAGAATGAAATTTTTTACCGGTTTTTCTGGCCAGCAATTTTATTCCTACTTGGCTTTCTCATTTCTAGTTATTCCGCTTTTCCTCTTTATACCATTAACTATTTTCTTCTTCTCCCTTTGCTCTCTGAAATCGGTATGATATGCTATTTTAAAATGGCTTCTTCGTATATCCTTCATCATAGGTTGACTATTTGGCTACTTAGTTTATCAAGCCATTTATCAGGGCGGAGAATGGGGATGAAAAGTAATTAGATGGTTCACAGAACTCTTTTTATGATTGGACCAAAATTATCTTTTAGTCATTTCAGTGTCCATCGGGGTTATTTTCCTCCTCGCTTGCCTCACTCTCACTCTAGCCTATAAAAAATTCCAAGAAGAAGATTTGAGTTAAAATGAATGGAAGAGAGAAGAAAACAAGTTTACTCTTACTTAGTAACTGCTGCCTACGACGGAAGTAATTTTTTTGGCTGAGCCACTCAGCCTGACAAACTTACAGTTCAAGGTTCCATTGAAAAAATACTCAGTAAAATTTTTCAACAAAAAATTAATATTTTAGCAGCCAGTCGCACCGACAGAGGAGTCCATGCCCTAGACCAAAAGTTTACCCTCCTACTAAACCGACACTTTTCCCCAGGAAAATTGCTTTACTTACTAAAAAAAGCACTTAGTGAATGTGTTTTGGTTAAAAAAGTTCAAAAAGTAGACAGTAAATTTCACCCTATTTGCAGTGTTTTTAGAAAAGAATACCGTTATTTTATTAATACTGGTAAGCACAATATTTTTCAAAAAAAGTATCGCTGGGAATATAACTTACCACTAACAACGAGAAAATTAGGCAGTATTTTACAGATTTTTCAAGGAAATCATAATTTTTTTAACTATTCCTATTGTCGTTGAAAAGATAAAGAAAAAATAAATACTGAAAGAGAAATAATTTCTTTGAAAAGTTGAAAAGAGAACAAAAATGTAGTTGTGGTTAGTATTATTGCTAAAAGTTTTCTCCGCTATCAAATCAGAGCAATAATTGGTGAAGTTATTAATTGTTATGAAGGCAAACAAACCATTAGTAACTTAAAAGAAAAATTGACTCTCTTTAAAGAAAAAAATCATAAGTATAAAAATCTTGCCCCTGCTTCTGGATTATATTTGTGAAAAATTAAATATTCTTTTTAGAATTTACTACTTTATCATTAATAAATGTTTATGGAACAAATATATTTTTTTAGTATTGCTGAATCCCATATAGAGGAAAATTACCAGGTAGAAGGAAAAAAATATCTTTCTTGTTTTCCTTGAAATACTAATTTTAGTCTCTTTAATGACGTAACGCATTTGCTGGTTCCCAATGACAATTCAATTTTGGCTAGTAGTATTCAAAACATCTCAAATAACCCGGAGGTCAGAAAAGAATTTTTCTCTATTCCTTTTGCTGATTTAAAATTTCGATCGAACTTTGGTAAAAAAAACTACTCTGTTTTTCAAGTCAAAAATACTAACCGGGTGAAAAAGGTAACTGGAAGTCAGAGTTCCGCTCAGGAAATAACTTTTAAGGTTCTGAGCCAAAGGAAAAAGGAAAATGGCATTCTAGACCCTCGTTGTTATTCCCACGAACTAGAAATTGAACCGCTGGACTTGGGAATAGAAGAGTTGCCAAAAATAACCTGAATTGTTTTCGACTTCGGCTACGCTAATTCCTTCGAAAATGCTCCCGGAACTTTAATCAAAACTAAATTACATAATAGCAAATTATTAGCCGAAAGTGCTGGCAAAACTTTTACTATGAAGGTTGAGCAATTTACTATGAAAGGACAAAATGAACTTTTATTTGCGAACTCGGAAGATTTTGAGGTAGATAGCCTTCGAGAAATTACTCAGAATTCGGATAATCCTCCCAAGACCAAACCAGAAAAAAACCAAAGTCAGCTGGCACTTTCCAAATCAACCAAAATATGAATTGGGGTCGGAATTGGATTTTTAGTGCTTTTTCTAATTCTAATTATCAGTTTTTTAGTTGCGAGCAAAAAGAATTAAAAAATAATTAATGTCAGAAACACCATTAAAAGTTTTAATTTTTGACCTCCTTTATAATCAATACTACGGGGTAATTGTTTATGTTAGAGTATTTGAGGGAGAATTAAAAGTAAAACAAAAAGTTAAATTTTTTAGCACTCAAAAAACCTACCAAGTAGAAAGAGTAGGAGTAAAAACTCCCAAAGAAGTTTTGAAGGACAAATTAATAACGGGAGAAATTGGTTGATTTTCTGCCAACATTCGGGACATGAGAGAAGTAAAAGTCGGTGATACTATTTTGGATTTAGATAATAATTCTTTGCCATTAGAGGGATACCAGGAAGTAAAACCTAATGTCTATGCCAATTTATACCCTGGTGACAGTTCCCGATATAAAGAGTTCAAAAAGTCTTTAGAGGAATTACAAATTCAAGACAGTAGTTTAAGTTTAGAAACAGTTGATTCTCATCTGCTCGGTCCAGGTTTTCGCTGCGGTTTTTTAGGTCTATTACATCGGGAAATTATTTGCGAAAGATTAGAAAAAGAATTTAGTTGCGAAATTATTACTACCTCATCCAGTGTTAATTATCGAATAATCCTTTCTAATGGAGAAAAAATAGAAACAAACAATCCTCAAAAAATCCCGAATAGGGACAAAATAAAAGGATTTGAAGAATTATTCATCAACCTAAACATTGCTACCCCTCAAGAGTATTTAGGAGCGATTTCCCAACTATGTCAAAACAAGAGAGGTATTTATCAGTCGCAAGAATGAAAAACTGGCTCACTCTACCAATTAAATTATCATTTACCTTTTGCCGAATTTATTCTAGATTTTCATGACAAAATAAAATCTATTTCACATGGTTATGCCTCCTTTGATTACCAAATAATTGGATTCTATCCTAGCGATATTGTTAAGATAGACATTCTGCTGAATAATCAGTTAGTTGCTGACCTATCTTTCTTAGTTCACCGGACCTTTGCCTACGAGCAGGCCAAAAAAGTATGCGAAAAACTGAAAAAGACCCTTAACTTACAAACTTTTACAGTTCCTATTCAAGCATGCATCGGCAAACAAGTAATTGCCCGAGAAACTTTACCGGCTCTAAAAAAACATGTAACTGGCAATTTATACGGGGGGGACAGAACCCGGAAAATGAAACTGTGAGCTAAACAAAAAAAAGGAAAGGCTCGTATGAAAGAAATAGGAAAAGTTAACTTTGGAGTTGGTAATTTAAGAGAACTTTTGAGGGGGAGTAAATAGGTGAATAAAAAAGCAGAGCGATTTTTTTAACAAAAAACTACCCTACTTAATTAAAAAGTATTATATAAGATGTATATTAAGATAATAAATCAAAGTTATCTATATTAAGCCCATGCTTATAAGAAAATTAAACAATAATAGGTTTCAAATAAGGTTAGTAAAAGGAGAAAAGGTAATAGAATGCCTTTGTGAATTTGCTAAACAATATAATCACTCACTCGGCTTTGCTGAATTGAGGATGAAAGGCTCAGTAGAAGATATTGAATATGCCTTCTCTGTAGGTTATGGACAAGAAAAAAATGGTTATAAAATTATGAGATGCAAAGATAAAGCCGAATTATTAGTTGCTCTAGGAGACATTTCTTGGGACAATGAAGATACTAACAAACCAATAGTTCATTGCCATGCTGTTTTTTCTAAAAATGATGGAATAGGAACTTCCTTTGGAGGCCATTTAAAAGAAGCCACCGTTAATTTAACTACCCTAATAATTATTGACATTTTAAGTAATGAAAAAGTAGTCTGCAAATTAGATAAGGAATTGAATATAAAATTATGAGATTTTTAAGTTAGAAAATTTATGAATCTTTACTAAAAAATCTTCGTAAATGGTTTTGTCTTCCTTGCATCAAAAATGAATGAAATAAAAAAATGTCTAATAGTTGACGGTAATAACCTAATTTACTCCTCTTACCATGTGGCTCAAAAACTAACCTGAAAATTAGAAAAAGGAGCCATTTTTTTCTTTTTGAGAGTACTAATTAGTATTTTAAAAAAAAAAGACTATCAAAAATTACTAATTACTTTTGACGGTGGCGGAACTAATTGGAGAGAGACATTACTCCCACAATACAAAGCCCAGCGGGAAAGTATGCCAGAAGAACTATGAAAACAACTCAAAGAGATTAAATCCATATTAGAAAAAACTGACATTTCCTATATCCAACTTACAGATTGTGAAGCAGATGATTTAATTACCTCTTTTGTTAAACAAAATAAAAAAACATTCCCTAACCTAGTTTTCGACATTTTCACTCGCGATAAAGACTTGCTTCAATTGCTTGACAAAAATACTAATATTTTAAAATACATTAAAGGAAAAATAACTCTTTACACTGATGAAGCTTTTTCGAAAGAATATAACTTTTCGCCCAACAATTTTTCTGATTATTTAAGTTTACTAGGAGACAGCATTGACAATATTAAAGGAGTAAAAGGAATTGGACCAGTTAGTGCTAAAAATTTAATCCAACAATTTCATACTGTCGAAAATATTTATCAGCAAAAAGATAATTTACCTGACAACAGCAGAAAATTATTAGAAGATAATCAAGAACTAGTTTATCGTAATAAAAAAATTATTGGTTTAATCGAAGATGTTCCTTTGCCGACCAATTTATACGAAAAATGCGACTTTAATTGAGAGGAATGAAAAAAAAACAATGAACTAAAAAAATTCTGTGCAGAAAACAATTTTAAAAGCATTCTTAAATTATTAGACTAAACAAAAAAGGTAGCGAATTTCAAGTTATTTTTTTGATAGTACTGTTTGTGGAATTGTTTAGAGCAAATGGAAAAATTTACTTGAAGAGGAGGTTTAATGTGAGTTGTCGTCATATAGGCCTTACATGGTGGTTACGAGAGAATGAAGAAATCTGCAACTTTTTGATGGGTTGGACCTAGGAAATTTTACTCCCTTTTAATGTTTAGACTTTTTAAAAATATGGGCGATTAAAAAAACTACTGCTACTCCCCCTAACCAAAGTACTCATTTACCTTCACCAAACAATTTATGTAACAAAGAACTATTTTGTGAACTTTGAGATGAAGAGTTTGAATTATTTGAAGGTACATTTCTTTCTGGTATATTAGGAAAATCTCTTCTACTTGGTTCTTCACCATTATTACCATTATTTTTTTTAATTCTGGCTGCTTCAATCGCATTAAGCATTTGATTTTTAAAGGTTTCTAATTCACTTTCAGAGTTTAAACTAACTAACTTTTCGGCTCATGAATTATGAGGAGACCAGAGAGAAGAGTCTAAGTCGGAAGTTAATACTTTTGAGGATGTTAGTTTGGCTTGGATTTCATCGGCAATTTGATTTTGGAGAATCGCGTTTTCTACATATCTTTCACCTTTTTCAGAGGCTTTTCTAATGTTTTCATACTCCCTTTTTCATTTTTCATCATTCTTTCTTTTAAATTCCTCGGCTGCTTCTCGAAGTTTTTTCTCGAAGATAACTAATTCATCATCACTGCACTTTCTCATTTTTTCCATTCAATTAGGATAAGGAGCCCATAAATTAGGGTCTAGGGGAGGATTTTCAAATTGGTATCCTGCATCAGGATGTATTCCACTAAAAGCAAATCTAGTTTTTATAAGATTTATTCCTCATTCTCGGTCTTTTTTTCTTAAATCATCATAATACTCTTGTTGACCTTCAAAATAGGCTTTTGTTCTTTCATATCAGTCATTAGGATTAAAGTCGGAACCATCTCCGCCATTATCGTATTTTTTTCTTCTTTGCGGGTCAGACAAAACATCATATGCTTTGCTAATCTCTTTAAACTTTTCCTCGGCTTCTTTACTACCGGAATTCTTATCAGGGTGATATTTTAAGGCTAATTTACGGTAGGCTTTTTTGATTTCTGCCTCCGAAGCATCTTCTTCTACTCCAAGGATTTCATATAATGTTTTTGACATAATGCTGTTAGAAGAGAGAGAGAGAGAGAGAGAGAGAGAGAGAGAGCAAAATTACCTAACTCTCTGCTTCTCGCCCTTATTTCTTTTAATTATTTGTTTGTTGTTCCTGATGTGCTTGGAATTGTTGCTGTTGTTGTTGATACAATTTCTCTTGCTTTATTCGTAATCTAGCAGTCTCTTCACACTCACAGCAAAGTTCTTGGGTATTTTCAATGCTAACCTTTCAAGTAAATCATCCTCCACTTAATAATTCATCTTTAATTCTTTCAATAGTTTCATTTGCTTCATTAAAGTTTTCTCGATTATAATTTTCTCGAGACTTAATTAGTTGATAATAGGCTTTCTGTAAATCTCGAACTTTTGTTCGATTAATTCCTTGTTTTTGAATAAAGTTTTCTAACTTAATTTCTTGAGTTCGGAATTTATGATTAAGGATTTCTTCTTGGGATTCTTCTAACAATCCTTTTAGTTCCTCAATATTTCTGCTTTTATTATTACTTTCAGTTTGTAGGTTATTAAACGAATTAGTTATTCTTTCGACCTCATTTTTACTTGAAACTCATTCGTTTTTAAAATCATCTCGCTCATTTTCAGTTTTTTGCAGTCTTCCTTCACCTCACTTTATTAAATCTCCTAACCGAGAATTTTCTCTTTCCAAACTTCTTTTTTCTACTTGTAGATTATCTCTTTGTGTTCGAACTATTGATAAATCGCTTTCAGTACTTTTCCGTAGAGTTAATTGGGTGTTACTGCTTGATTCTAATTCACTAACTCTATTTCGCAATTTTCTCACTTCTTCTTCACTATAGCCAAACAAAACTGGAACCGAAGCAACTTTTCTTATTCAACTATTAGTGTCAGAAAAAAACCCCCCTCC